TTGTCTCTAGTGTTGTATCTGCTTGATCTGTTGTTTGTGTCTTCAGTATGTTTGTCTCTAATGTTACATCTGCTTGATCTATTGTTTGTTTCTTCAGTATGTTTGTCTCTAGTGTTACATCTGCTTGATCTATTGTTTGTGTCTTCAGTATGTTTGTCTCTAGTGTTACATCTGCTTGATCTATTGTTTGTATCTTCAGTATGTTTGTCTCTAGTGTTACATCTGCTTGATTTATTGTTTGTGTCTTCAGTATGTTTGTCTCTAGTGTTACATCTGCTTGATCTATTGTTTGTGTCTTCAGTATTTTTGTCTCTATTGTTACATCTGCTTGATCTGTTGTTGGTGTCTTCAGTATATTTGTCTCTAGTGTTACATCTGCTTGATCTGTTTGTGTCTTCAGTATTTTTGTCCCTAGTGTTACATCTGCTTGATCTATTGTTTGTGTCTTCAGTATTTTTTGTCTCTAGTGGTGTTACATCTGTATGATCTGTTGTTGGTTTCTTCAGTATGTTTGTCTCTAGTGTTACATCTGCTTGATCTGTTGTTCGTGCTTTCAGTATGTTTGTCTCTAGTGTTACATCTGCTTGATCTGTTGTTGGTGTCCTCAGTATGTTTTTTTTCTCCATAATTTATTTGTAGTCCAACCTTTGATCTTTGATGTGGGGGGGGGGGGACACAACAGACTTGTGTGTGTGAAGTGAATGGACTATAGTTCCTTGTAGACAGACTTGATAGGTTGTTTACACAACAGACTTGTGTGTGTGAGTGACTGGGCTGTGTTCTTGTAGCTTGATAGTTTACACAACAGACTTGTGTGTGTGAGTGACTAGGCTGTGTTCTTGTAGCTTGGTCGTTTACACAACAGACTTGTGTGTGTGAGTGACTGGCCTGTGGTTGTTGACACAGACATGTGGTTTACACAGACTTGTGTGGTTGAGTGACACAGACTATGTGGTTGTTGACACTTGGTGTGGTTTACACACAGACTGGTGTGTGTTGTTGACTAAACTGTGACTGTAGTGGTTAGTGACACAACAGACTTGTGTGTGTGTTGTTGGACTGTGTTATGTAGTGGTTGTTTACACACAGACTTGTGTGTTGAGTGACACAGACTGGTCTTGTTGCTTGACACAGAACAGTGTTGTTGTGTGACACAGACTGGTGTGTTGTTGACACAGCTTGATAGTTTACACACAGACTTGTGTGTGTGTTGTTGACACAGACTGTTCTTGTTGCTTGACACAGTTTACACACAGACTGGTGTGGTTGTGAGTGACGGACTGTGTTCTTGTAGCTTGATAGTTTTGACACAGACTGTGTGGTTGTTGTGACTGGACTGGTGTGGTTGTAGCTTGATGGTTTTACACAGACTGACTTGTGGTTGTTGACACAGACTCCTTGTGGTTGTTACACACAGACTGGTGTGGTTGTTGACACAGACTATGTCATTGTAGCTTGATAGTTTACACACAGACTTGTGTGGTTGTGAGACACAGACTGTGTTCTTGTAGCTTGATAGTTTACACACAGACTTGTGTGGTTGAGTGACACAGACTATCTCCTTGTAGTTGTTTACACACAGACTTGTGTGGTGTGAGTTGACTGACTATCTCCTTGTAGCTTGATGGTTGTTGACACAGACTGGTGTGTTGTTGGTTGTGACTGGACTGACACAGACTGGTCTTGGTTGTTTACACACAGACATGTGTGTGTGAGTGACTGACACAGCTTGATAGTGGTTGTTGACACAGACTTGTGGTTGTGTGAGTGACAGCTATCTCCTTGTAGCTTGATAGTTTACAGAACAGACTTGTGTGTGTGAGTGACACTATCTCCTTGTAGCTTGATGGTTTACACACAACACTTGTTGTTGTGTGTGACTGGGACTATCTTCTTGTAGCTTGTAGTTTACACACAGACTGGTGTGGTTGTGAGCACAGACTGGTGTAGGTCATGTTGACACAGACAGACTTGTGTTTGTGACAGACTGGGCTATCTGTTGACACAGTAGCTGGTGATAGTTTACACACAGACTTGTGTGTGTGAGTGACTCACATCTCCTTGTAGCTTGATAGTTTACACAGACAGACTTGTGTTGTTGACACAGACTGGTGTGGTTGTTGACACAGACTGGTGTGGTTGTTGACACAGACTGGTGTGGTTGTTGACACAGACTGGTGTGGTTGTTGACACAGACTGGTGTGGTTGTTGACACAGACTGGTGTGGTTGTTGACACAGACTGGTGTGGTTGTTGACACAGACTTGTGTAGTTGTTGACACAGACTTGTGTAGTTGTTGACACAGACTGTTGTGGTTGTTGACACAGACTGTTGTGGTTGTTGACACAGACTTGTGTAGTTGTTTACACAACAGACTTGTGTTTGTGAGTGACTGGACTATCTCCTTGTAGCTTGATGGTTAACATAACAGACTTGTGTGTGTGAGTGACTGGGCTATCTCCTTTTAGCTTGATAGTTTACACAACAGACTTGTGTGTGTGAGTGACTGGGCTATCTCCTTGTAGCTTGATGGTTTACACAACAGACTTGTGTTTGTGAGTGACTGGACTTTCTCCTTGTAGCTTGATAGTTTACACAACAGACTTGTGTGTGTGAGTGACTGGGCTATCTCCTTGTAGCTTGATAGTTTACACAACAGACTTGTGTTTGTGAGTGACTGGGCTATCTCCTTGTAGCTTGATAGTTTACACAACAGACTTGTGTGTGTGAGTGACTGGGCTATCACCTTGTAGCTTGATAGTTTACACAACAGACTTGTGTGTGTGTGAGTGATTAGACTATCTCATTGTAGCTTGATAGTTTACACAACAGACTTGTGTGTGTGAGTGACTGGACTATCTCCTTGTAGCTTGATAGTTTACACAACAGACTTGTGTGTGTGAGTGACTTGGCTACGCCTTGTAGCTTGATGGTTTACACAACAGACTTGTGTGTGTGAGTGACTCGGCTATCTTCTTGTAGCTTGATGGTTTACACAACAGACTTGTGTGTGTGAGTGACTGGACTATCTTATTGTAGCTTGATAGTTTACACAACAGACTTGTGGGTGTGAGTGAACGGACTGTGTTCTTGTAGCTTGATATTTTATACAACAGACTTGTGTGTGTGAGTGACTGGGTTGTGTCCTTGTAGCTTGATAGTTTACACAACAGACTTGTGTGTGTGAGTGACTGGGTTGTGTCCTTGTAGCTTGATAGTTTACACAACAGACTTGTTTGTGTGAGTGACTGGATGGTTTACACAACAGACTTTTTGTCTGTGATTGTGCTGTGATCTTGTTGCCTGATTGTTTGCACAATAGACTCCTTGTTTATATAACAGACGCATTGTTTACACAAAAGACTACTTGTTTGCACAAGAGATTGCTTGTTTACACAACAGATTACATGTTTACACAATATAATTTTCTTGTTTACACAACTGATTTCTTGTTTACACAACAGACTTCTTGTTTATTCAACAGACAACAGAGTTATTGTTTACTTATTAGACATCTTGTTTACACATCCATCTTCTTGTTAACACAACAGATTTCTTGTTTATGTTAGACTTCCTGTTTACACATTAGACTTCTTGTTTACACAATGGACATCTTGTTTACACAACATACTTCTTGTTTACACAACAGACTTCTTGTTACACAACATACTTTTTGTTTACACTACGTACTTCTTGTTTACACAACAGACTTTTTGTTTACATAACAGACTTCTTGTTTACACAACAGACATCTTGTTTACACAACAGACATCTTGTTTACACACCAGACATCTTGTTTACACAACAGTATTCTTGTTACACAACTGACTTCTTGTTGACACGACAGACTTCATGTTTACACACTGGACTTTTTGTTTACACAACAGACTTCTTGTTTACACACTTGACTTTTTGTTTACACCGCACACGACTTCAGAAATGGTATTATGATTTCTTACACCCATTACAACTTCAGAGAATTATATTTCTGGCACTTAGTATTACAACTTTCAGATGTGATATTATTATTTCTTACACCCACTTTACAAATTCAGGCATGTTGTGATTTCTTACACTCACATTACAACTTCAGATGTGATATTATGATTTCTTACACCCAGATTACAACTTCAGACGTGATATTATTATTTCTTACACTCACTTTACAAATTCAGGCATGTTATGATTTCTTACACCCACATTACAACTTCAGATGTGATATTATGATTTCTTACACCCACATTACAACTTCAGATGTGATATTATGATTTCTTACACCCACATTACAACTTCAGATGTGATATTATGATTTCTTACACCCACATTACAACTTCAGATGTGATATTATTATTTCTTACACCCACATTACAACTTCAGATGTGATGTTATTATTTCTTACACCCACTTTACAAATTCAGGCATGTTATGATTTCTTACACCCACATTACAACTTCAGATGTGATATTATTATTTCTTACACCAACTTTACGAATTCAGGCATGTGATGATTTCTTACACCCACATTACAACTTCAGATGTGATATTATTATTTCTTACACCCACTTTACAAATTCAGGCATGTTATGATTTCTTACACCCACATTACAACTTCAGATGTGATATTATTATTTCTTACACCCACTTTACAAATTCAGGCATGTTATGATTTCTTACACCCACATTACAACTTCAGATGTGATATTATGATTTCTTACACCCACATTACAACTTCAGATGTGATATTATTATTTCTTACACCAACTTTACGAATTCAGGCATGTGATGATTTCTTACACCCACATTACAACTTCAGATGTGATATTATTATTTCTTACACCCACTTTACAAATTCAGGCATGTTATGATTTATTACACCCACATTACAACTTCAGACAAAATGTTATGATTTTTTACACTCATTAGGACTTCACTTATGATTTAATGTTCTGAAGCACGACAGTGAGAACAGTTTGCATATAATATTTATTATCTCATGACAGGTTTCTGAGAATCGTCAGTGGTCATGTGTGTATACAGAAGTGGCCAATCTTTGCTGCAGACAAGGGGCTGTCTTGTGTAGCAAGTATTACCAGAGGTGATTGTTGTGTTTTTTGTTAAGTCACCAGCCATCACTTGCCTGTCTGTCTGTGTTGGTTCAGTGCTGCAGACAGGGGGGGCTGGCTTGTGTAGCAAGTATTACCAGAGGTGACTGATGTGTTCTTTGTTAGGTCACCAACCATCACTTGCCTGTCTGTCTGTGTTCTTTGTTAGGTCACCAACCATCACTTGCCTGTCTGTCTGTGTTCTTTGTTAGGTCACCAACCATCACTTGCCTGTCTGTCTGTGTTCTTTGTTAGGTCACCAACCATCACTTGCCGGTCTGTCTGTGTTCTTTGTTAGGTCACCAACCATCACTTGCCTGTCTGTCTGTCTTCTTTGTTAGGTCACCAACCATCACTTGCCTGTCTGTGTTGGTTCAGTGCTGCAGCCGGAAGTAGAGTAGAACAGAGAGATGTGTATATGCACATTCACGCATGCATGTGTGTGAGTTAAGTTAATTGTGTATCCTTTACAGGATGTTGCCGAACCAACTGCAGTAGTTTTGTTTTGTTTTTGTGGTTTTTTTAAACAAATTTTACGTTCAGTAGTTTGCCATCGCTTCTGAACTGTCACCTTGCAGTGCCACTGGCGAAACCAGAGCAAGACAAATCTTCCGCAGCTGGGATCCATCACGGCATTACAAAGCGTGCTTTCAACACCCAATTAACAGACGCCGATGACGTGTGAGGGAGAGAAAAACAAATATTGTCAAGTAACTTACAGAAGCTAAAGCAGTAGTTGGCACGTGGGGGGGGGGGGGGGGGGGGGGGGGGGGGGGGGGGGGGGGGAGTATTTCAGCTCAAACATGTCTTATGATGCTCAGTTGGCCACCCGTGAACAAAATAGACCCTTGATGTTTTTCAGTTAGGATGTCCACACCATGTCAAGATCAGCTCCCTATAAAGATAAGACCAATCAGTCTCAAGATAAGACCAATCAGTCTCAAGATAAGACCAATCAGTCTCAAGATAAGACCAATCAGTCTCAAGATAAGACCAATCAGTCTCAAGATAAGACCAATCAGTCTCAAGATAAGACCAATCAGTCTCAATTTAAGACCAATCAGTCTCAAGATAAGACCAATCAGTCTCAAGATAAGACCAATCAGTCTCAAGATAAGACCAATCAGTCTCAAGATAAGACCACTCAGTCTCAAGATAAGACCAATCAGTCTCAAGATAAGACCAATCAGTCTCAAGATAAGACCAATCAGTCTCAAGATAAGACCAATCAGTATCAAGATAAGACCAATCAGTCTCAAGATAAGATCAATCAGTATCAAGATAAGACCAATCAGTCTCAAGATAAGACCAATCAGTATCAAGATAAGACCAATCAGTCTCAAGATAAGATCAATCAGTATCAAGATAAGACCAATCAATCTCAAGATAAGACAAGTCAGTCTCAAGATAAGACCAATCAGTATCAAGATAAAACCAATCAGTCTCAAGATAAGACCAATCAGTATCAAGATAAGACCAATCAATCTCAAGATAAGACCAATCAGTCTCAAGATAAGATCAATCAGTATCAAGATAAGACCAATCAGTCTCAAGATAAGACCAATCAGTATCAAGATAAGACCAATTAGTCTCAAGATAAGACCAATCAGTCTGAAGATAAGATCAACATGTTGTAAAGACTTTTAACACATGAAACAAATTGGAACAGTCAACATAATGTATAAATCACTGTGTCTGATGGTGTCTCTAAACACTGATGAGATAAGTGATGAAAGCACTGCATGGATTGTGTGAGTCACCAGTGCTGTTATCTTCAGTTGAGAACTGACATCACAGCACTTGGGAATTGCCACACACACAGTCCTCATCTTCAGCAGCTAGCAAAGAGTTCAGTGACGAAGAAACTGAAATTTGAATAATTGTACGGTATTCCTTGAACATTGCAGACACCTATACCCATTTGAGTTGTACATCTGTGGATGTGACTACACTCCTACAGATGTGGAGCCAGATGTCAGGAAGAGTCCAGTCAAGGAAGCTGGTGATTCAGGAGTGGACTCTGATGGCTTGCAGACATGCTGTGATGATGATGATGAGTTTGATAATCCTGGTGAGTCATCTCAGGTATTTCAGTAAAAGTCAAGACCCTTTTCCACACCTTCAACATATTAGGCATAAAGTGCTAGACTTATATTTTATGGACCAACTCGGGTGATGTGGTCAGCAACAAGCCGACTGCCTTTACTTTCCAGGACTTCACCTGGTCCCCATTTAAGGCTGACCTCGAAGACAAAGTCATTTTTTTAAGGTCCATCTTCGTCAGAACTTGAACCCAGGACCTTCTGATCCGCAGCCAAGATGTTTCAATAGCAACATCTTATTGACAGTGTTCTGTTCTAGCTGGAAATGTTGTTTGTACCTTAGTCATGACAAGTGTAGCAGGTTGGGGAGGTAGTTTGTACCTTAGTTACCACACATGTAGCAGGTTGGGGAGTTAGTTTGTACCTTAGTTACCACACATGTAGCAGGTTGGGGAGGTAGTTTGTACCTTAGTGACTACACATGTAGCAGTTTGAGGTAGTTTGTACCTTAGTGACTTCACATGTAGCAGTTTGAGGTAGTTTGTACCTTAGTGACTACACATGTAGCAGTTTGAGGTAGTTTGTACCTTAGTCACCACATATGTTGCAGGTTGGGGAGGTAGTTTGAACCTTAGTGACTACACATATAGCAGGTTGTGGAGGTCGGGGGTAGTTTGTACCTTAGTCACCACAAATGTAGCAAGTTGGTGGTGGGGGGGGGGGGGTAGTAGTTTGTACTTTAGTAACCACTCATGTTGCAGGTTGGGGAGGAAGTTTGTACCTTAGTCACCACATACGTTGCAGGTTGGGGAGGTAGTTTGTACCTTAGTGACTACACATATAGCAGGTTGGGAGGTATTTTATGATACAGTGTTGTGAATTGTTGTTTTATACCTAACAATTCGGTAATCGCTCTCATCACCACTGAAGTGAATTGTGTCCCTCGGTCCGATATTATCACCTCGGGAAATCCAATTCGTGCAAATATCTGAAGCAAAACTTCTTGGATATCTTCAGCAGGAATTGTCTCAAGTGGCCAAGCCTCAGGCCAACGACTGGCAAGATCAATTAGCGTAAAGATATATCTGTTACCTTTAGCAGAAACTACCGATAATGGGCCTATTATGTCAACTGCCACTTCCTGAAATGGACGTGAGGCTAGCTGTCCGCTTTGGACTGGCGCTTTCGGTGTCTCACCTTTTTTTGATGTTCGTAGGCAGATATCACATGATTGGACTTATTCTTTGATGTCTTTTGAATATCCCGGCCAAAAGAATGATGATAATACTCTTGATTTAGTTTTTTGTAACTCCCATATATCCTGAAAATATGGAGTCATGGGCCAGTGACATAGCCTTTTTCCTGGAATTTTACTGGTAACACTGTTTGTTTTGTTATGCCTCTCTTTTTGGAATACATTTTTGATAACATTCCTTTGTCCAATTTGAACTTCCATACTGCATTTTTTTTTTTTTTTGGGTTCTCGCTTTGTTGCTTCAAAGCATTGTGTTAGTGTTAAATAATTTTTCTGCTCTTAATAAAATCTCTTTCTAGTGTTTTCATCTTCTGTAGTTACTGGTATCTGTTCTTTATGCATGTTTACTGAGTGCTCTTGTGTTTGTTGCTTTTTTGTTGTTGCTCTTCTTGTGACTGCTTCGACATTTTCTATCTCATCCTGATTCAAACTCACTTTCGGTTTTCCTCACTGCATTTGTCTCTTGTCTCTGCGTGGATATCCTCAACTCTTCTACCATCTCAGGTATGTTTTCTTTCTCCCACTGTTTTATTTCATGATCTGTCATCTCCTTCAGCCCTGGTTGGTTACCAATGATGTTCTGCACATGGCGAACCCAATATAGCCATGTCCATTTTCTTGGTGGTCTGTGGCGTTTTCACCCATACTGATGCTATTCTAAATTTCTCTATTCTACCTCTGAATGTTCTAAATCTAACAGCTCTATCTGTCATGTCTTCTGGTTTCACTAATGACTTGTGAATACCTGAAATCGTCACTCCTGTGTCTCTCAAAACTGACACGATTCGATTACCAACAATCCCTTTATGTAGTTTTAATTTTCCACAATCCTTCACTGAATTTACATTATGCACCGGTATCTTATGCCCACATGGCAAGTCTCCATATTCTTAAAACGTCTCACATGTTGTGCATTTGTCTTCTTCTAGTAACACTGCTGCGTTTGTTTTTGATATTTCACTTCCTGACTCGGAGTCTGATGTTTCACATACTGTTGCCGCTTTGAATTCTTTCTTATATTTGCACAATTGACGAGTGTGCCCATAGAACCCACAAGCCCAGCATTTACATGAATTATCATACCTTTTTACATTTCTTCTCCTATTTTCAATTTTTCTTCTGACTTCTTATTCATATATTTCATTGGCATCACATAACGCATCATTGTCATGCCTCTTATTGCACACATCACATTCTATTATTCTTACTTTTCTTACACCATTAAATTTTTTCCTGGCTGGATATGCTGATTTATTATATCCTGCTTCGTATGTCCTTCGTTCCTCTGCACTGGCTAATGAGTATATGTCCGTGTGTTGTGGTATGGGAAAGATATCACCATGTGCTGCATAGTAATTTTCTCCTAGCTGTTCTATCTGTGCTAAGGAAGTCGGTTTGTGTTCTTTCAGAAATGTGGTCACAGGTTTTGGTAAAGATTCTAACAGTTTACTTCTTAATAGCAAATGAACTAACAGATCATAGTTGTTGTTAATTTTAGCAGAATCCACCCATTTCTGAAAAGTTGTCTAAACTTCGGACATAGAGTCAACAAACATTTGAGTTGATTTTGGTTTTAAGTCTGCATTTATTTGTGCTGCCAACCGCTCATGTTCAAGCTTTAACTCCTGTTCTTTGATTTGTTTCTCATGGTCTAATTACTGTTGTTTCGTTGCTGTTTCATTGCTGCTTCGTGCGCTTGCTAATGCCCTTTCTTCTCTATCCAGTTATTGTTGGACCCATTATCTCCTGTTCTCTTCCTTCACAGAACTTTTTCAATTCATCTCCTGATAACCCTGTTTCCCCAGATTTATGTATTCTGCCTGGTTTGACATTTTTAAAATGTGCTTACTGTAAATTAATACTTTCAAAAATGTTTAAATTTCTCTAATTTAAAGATAATTCAAGTATTTAATATTTTATACCCTTTTTAATAAAGTAATAAAAAGTTTAGTTTTATCCTTTATCAACTGATAAAATTAAATGTAATAATAATCAATCAAAAATGATCTATTTTCCTTAAATAGAATAACAATTATAATATCACGTTCAAAGAACCTGAAATGAGAAAAAGAAAGCATGTAAAGAATACAATGAATTAATTCCCTTTTCTTGGTCTTGATGCTGGCTCTCTTGCTGTTGCTGTTGTATCTGCTGTTAGTTAGGACTGTATTGGCCTTGTGGCTAATGCTGCTCACCGGCATGTCTTGACTGTTACTGGACACTGTCTTTTGACTCCTGTAACACACTGCCCTTGTATTGCCCCGTGATCTGAAGCTGTCGATGATACTTAAGATACTAGTATTAGTTTATGCTAATTCAGTGCATCTAACTATGCTTAAAAGTCTATACAATATAGTCCACTAATCTACACTCCAGTTGATTTTGTTTTCTACCGATCACTAGTCTCTGCTGCTCACAGTTAATGCGTATCAGTCACTTTATTCAATTCTCACAAAAAATTGTTAATAAATGTTCAGTTCTTACTGTAACACCATTTATTCTTCACCAACAATGTACGTGTTTCACTTTCCAAAGTAAATATTTTATCACAAAAGATAACTGTAACTACTGTCTATTCATGATTATTATTGCCCATTTCATGACGCAATTAATGTCACTGAACACAATTACTTTCTTGACAACACAATTACCACTTCCACTATCACTTATACCAACGCTTTACAATACACTTAGTAGTGAAGGACTACTACTTCCGAAATGACTCGACCCCAAAGTTACTCTTTTTATTGACATGTTTTCTTAAATTGCGGTACTAACTTGTGGCAAGCGTGTTGCACTGTTGACTTGAGTTACCTGTCGCTGATGACCGCATTGGCTGCTAGCGTGTTGACCTTGTGTTCACTGTTGCTGATGAATGTCTTGGCTGCTAGCGTGTTGACCTTGTGTTCACAGTTGCTGATGAATGTCTTGGCTGCTAGCGTGTTGACCTTGTGTTCACTGTTGCTGATGACCGTCTTGGCTGCTAGCATGTTGACCTTGAGTTCACTGTTGCTGATGAATGTCTTGGCTGCTAGCTTGTTGACCTTGAGTTCACTGTTGCTGATGAATGTCTTGGCTGCTAGCGTGTTGACCTTGTGTTCACTGTTGCTGATGACCGTCTTGGCTGCTAGCTTGTTGACCTTGAGTTCACTGTTGCTGATGACCGTCTTGGCTGCTAGCGTGTTGACCTTGAGTTCACTGTTGCCTATGAATGTCTTGGCTGCTAGCGTGTTGACCTTGAGTTCACTGTTGCTGGTGACCGTCTTGGCTGCTAGCGTGTTGACCTTGAGTTCACTGTTTCTGATGAATGTCTTGGCTGCTAGCGTGTTGACCTTGAGTTCACTGTTGCTGATGAATGTCTTGGCTGCTAGCGTGTTGACCTTGAGTTCACTGTTGCTGATGACCGTCTTGGCTACTAGCGATTTGACCTTGAGTTCACTGTTGCTGTTGAATGTCTTGACTGCAAGCGTGTTTACCTTGAATTCATTGTTGCTGATAAATGTCTTGGCTGCCAGCGTGTTGACCTTGAGTTCATTGTTGCTGATAACCGTCTTGGCTGCTAGCGTGTTGACCTTGAGTTCACTGTTGCTGATGACCGTCTTGGCTGCTAGCGTGTTGACCTTGAGTTCACTGTTGCTGATGAATGTCTTGGCTGCTAGCGTGTTGACCTTAAGTTCACTGTTGCTGATGACCGTCTTGGCTGCTAGCGTGTTGACCTTGAGTTCACTGTTGCTGATGGATGTCTTGGCTGCTAGCGTGTTGACCTTGAGTTCACTGTTGCTGATGACCGTCTTGGCTGCTAGCGTGTTGACCTTGAGTTCACTGTTGCTGATGACCGTCTTGGCTGCTAGCCTGGTGACCTTGAGTTCACTGTTGCTGATAAATGTCTTGGCTGCCAGCGTGTTGACCTTAAGTTCACTGTTGCTGATGACCGTCTTGGCTGCTAGCGTGTTGACCTTGAGTTCACTGTTGCTGATGAATGTCTTGGCTGCTAGCCTGTTGACCTTGAGTTCACTGTTGCTGATGAATGTCTTGGCTGCTAGCGTGTTGACCTTGAGTTCACTGTTGCTGATGAATGTCTTGGCTGCTAGCGTGTTGACCTTAAGTTCACTGTTGCTGATGACCGTCTTGGCTGCTAGCGTGTTGACCTTGAGTTCACTGTTGCTGATGACCGTCTTGGCTGCTAGCGTGTTGACCTTGATGGTATGACCACTGCTGATAACCGCATTGGCAGTTAGAGTTGCAGTGTTCTTGTTGGAAAATCTGTTCCGAAAGTGGTATCTCCGATTTACGACCGCTCGTTTGACGAAAAAAACACCATGTCAAATAAGGATCACACAGACACAGTTGCTGAAAATTTTACTTCGTGGATTACCCACCACGAGGGTCAAAAGTTCAGCCTACACTGTCTCCTCCACGTCGCGGGATAAAACATGTGAAATTTCTAACACGTGGAGTGATCCATAACCCAGTATTCACTCACCATGAGTCTCTAAAATTTTTCTCGGCAAACTTGTCATTTTGAGAATGAATAGAGCACGAACTTCAGTTGTCCTGGATTTACATAATGCCCCTCGGCAGCATGTCCTGGTCTTACATAATACCCTTCAACTCTTTAAACTTCATCATCCGTGTCACATAATCACTCTCAGCTTACGGCTGCCAGTGTTTGTCCAAAATTTTAGTCTGTCCACAACAACACTAGGCCTCGCTTTCCAATGTAATGCAACAGTTAGGACGAGCCTCCAATGTAATGCAACAGTTAGGACGAGCCTCCAATGTAATGCAACAGTTAGGACGAGCCTCCAATGTAATGCAACAGTTAGGACAAGCCTCCAGTGTAATGTGTCTCCTCCACACTCAATCCCTCTTGTGCAGATTCAACACTGACTCTGTTGTCTAGGTGTTATGTCACAATTGATTCTAGCCAGACGGCACTTCTCTCCACGGCCACACAACTTTAAATAACGGTCGACGACAGCTGACGCATTTGACAGGTTTATTGCCAATGTAACACAAGCGACAAGAATCAACAGATGAACTAACTTACGCCATTCAGGCAATCTCACCTTGCTCACATTCTGAGTCTCTAGCCATGCTTCAAACGATGGACACTGGCATGTACACGGCTAGCACACAAAACATACCGTGAAACACAACGGCTGGCCTAAACGATCATTCAATAGCGCTGCCTGTCTTGTCGTTCAGCACTAACATTCACTCGACTCTAATCCAAATCCACGTGTGCACTTCTCACTCTGGATTCAGCTTCACATCCTTCACTCTGGATTCACCTTCACAGATTCAGCTTCACATCCTTCCAATCTGGGGCCCAGTCACCGAATGACCACCTCATTATCAATCTCCCAGATCTCGCATTCACACGTGACTCACTCACTCTTGTCTTTTCACCATATCTCCGTGAAACCCATGCTATCAGGGACTTACCCAATTCTGTCAGTCATACACTTAGTAACCACACATGTAGCAGGTTGGGGAGGTGGGGGAGTTTGTACCTTGGCAAGCTGACATATTGTTTGTATTCAAAGTCACCACACATGTGGCAAACTGACATGTTATTTGTACCCTAGTCACCACACATGTAGCAGGCTGACATGTTGTTTGTACCCTAGTCACCACACATGTAGCAGGCTGACATGTTGTTTGTACTCTAGTCACCATACATGTGGCAAACTGACATGTTGTTTGTACCCTAGTCACAACATATTCAGTAGGCTGGAGATGTTGTTTAAAAAAGGTGTACATACACAGACTTTCATATCCTAAGTCTTGTTGACTTATTTGTCTCGTGTGTGTTCTTTGCAGATATAGTCAGACATTTGGATGAGCTGGAGCAGATTCTCAGGTCAATGGATCAGGTTGGGCACAGACAAGGCCGTATCCAAGGTATTGTCTTTGAGTGTTATTACAGTTACAGTTTCTGACTGCTAATTGTTGCTAGATTTGTTGACACACCCACACATCTCCTAGGTGCTGCCCCTGAGAATTCCCTGCTACAGAGCACACCACTGTTGCTATGTTGTGTAGCTCGATTTCTACCAGTCGGTGAGGTAGTCATTTGTAGGAGCTCCCTGTGGGCTATGAGAATACTGTCTGTCAATTTTCTTATGACCTGGTTGAAGCTAGTCTTGCTGTCAACCTACCCCTGCCCCTGCTGTCACTTAACCAATTATAGCAGCTGTTGTCAATCTACCACTGTACATTTTCTGCTGTCACTTACCTCCTCATAGCTACCTGTTGTCAATCTACCACTGTACATTTTCTGCTGTCACTTACCCCTTCATAGCTGCTGTTGTCAATCTACCACTGTACATTTTCTGCTGTCACTTACCTCTTCATAGCTACCTGTTGTCAATCTACCACTATACATTTTCTGCTGTCACTTACCCCTTCATAGCTGCTGTTGTCACTGTTGTCAATCTACCATTGTACATTTTCTGCTGTCACTTACCTCCTCATAGCTGCTGTTGTCAATCTACCACTGTACATTTTCTGCTGTCACTTACCCCTTCATAGCTGCTGTTGTCAATCTACCACTGTACATTTTCTGCTGTCACTTACCTCTTCATAGCTACCTGTTGTCATCTATCATTGTACATTTTCTGCTGTCACTTACCCCTTCATAGCTGCTGTTGTCAATCTACCACTGTACATTTTCTGCTGTCACTTACCCCTTCATAGCTGCTGTTGTCAATCTACCACTGTACATTTTCTGCTGTCACTTACCTCCTCATAGCTGCTGTTGTCAATCTACCACTGTACATTTTCTGCTGTCACTTACCCCTTCATAGCTGCTGTTGTCAATCTACCACTGTACATTTTCTGCTGTCACTTACCTCTTCATAGCTACCTGTTGTCATCTACCACTGTATATTTTCTGCTGTCACTTACCTCTTCATAGCTGCTGTTGCCAGTCTACCACTATACATTTTCTGCTGTCACTTACCTCTTCATAGCTGCTGTTGTCAATCTACCACTGTACATTTTCTGCTGTCACTTACCACTTCATAGCTGCTGTTGTCAATCTACCACTGTACATTTTCTGCTGTCACTTACCCCTTCATAGCTGCTGTTGTCAATCTACCACTATACATTTTCTGCTGTCACTTACCTCTTCATAGCTGCTGTTGTCAATCTACCACTGTACATTTTCTGCTGTCACTTACCCCTTCATAGCTGCTGTTGTCAATCTATCACTGTACATTTTCTGCTGTCACTTACCTCTACATAGCTGCTGTTGTCAATCTACCACTGTACATTTTCTGCTGTCACTTACCTCTTCATAGCTACTGTTGTCAATCTACCACTGTATATTTTCTGCTGTCACTTACCCCTTCATAGCTGCTTTTGTCAATCTACCACTGTACATTTTCTGCTGTCACTTACCCCTTCATAGCTGTTGTTGTCAATCTACCACTATACATTTTCTGCTGTCACTTACCTCTTCATAGCTGCTGTTGTCAATCTACCACTGTACATTTTCTGCTGTCACTTACCACTTCATAGCTGCTGTTGTCAATCTACCACTGTACATTTTCTGCTGTCACTTACCCCTTCATAGCTGCTGTTGTCAATCTACCACTATACATTTTCTGCTGTCACTTACCTCTTCATAGCTGCTGTTGTCAATCTACCACTGTACATTTTCTGCTGTCACTTACCCCTTCATAGCTGCTGTTGTCAATCTACCACTGTACATTTTCTGCTGTCACTTACCTCTACATAGCTGCTGTTGTCAATCTACCACTGTACATTTTCTGCTGTCACTTACCTCTTCATAGCTGCTGTTGTCAATCTACCACTGTACATTTTCTGCTGTCACTTACCTCTTCATAGCTGCTGTTGTCAATCTACCACTGTATATTTTCTGCTGTCACTTACCCCTTCATAGCTGCTTTTGTCAATCTACCACTGTACATTTTCTGCTGTCACTTACCCCTTCATAGCTGCTGTTGTCAATCTACCACTGTACATTTTCTGCTGTCACTTACCCCTTCATAGCTGCTGTTGTCAATCTACCACTGTACATTTTCTGCTGTCACTTACCCCTTCATAGCTGCTTTTGTCAATCTACCACTGTACATTTTCTGCTGTCACTTACCCCTTTATAGCTGCTTTTGTCAATCTACCACTGTACATTTTCTGCTGTCACTTACCCCTTCACACTTGCTGCTGTCCACCTACCCCTTCCTCTGTATGTAGTAAGACATGTTTGTCATAGGTTGTTAGTATGTAGTAAGACATGTTTGGCATAGGTTGTTGGTATGTAGTAAGTCATGTTTGTCATAGGTTGTTGGTATGTAGTGAGCCATGTTTGTCATAGGTTGTTGGTATGTAGTGAGCCATGTTTGTCTTAGGTTGTTGCTATGTAGTAAGATATGTTTTTCATGGGTTGATGGTATGTAGTGAGACATGTTTGTCATAGGTTGTTGGTATGTAGTAAGATATGTTTGTCATAGGTTGTTGGTATGTAGTGAGCCATGTTTGTCATAGGTTGTTGGTATGTAGTGAGCCATGTTTGTCATAGGTTGTTGGTATGTAGTGAGACATGTTTGTCATAGGTTGTTGGTATGTAGTAAGACATGTTTGTCATGGGTTGTTGGTATGTAGTAAGACATGTTTGTCATAGGTTGTAGGTATGTAGTGAGCCATGTTTGTCATAGGTTGTTGGTATGTAGTGAGCCATGTTTGTCATAGGTTGTTGGTATGTAGTGAGCCATGTTTGTCATTGGTTGTTGGTATGTAGTGATCCATGTTTGTCATTAGTTGTTGGTAAGTAGTGAGCCATGTTTGTCATAGGTTGTTGGTATGTAGTGAGACATGTTTGTCATAGGTTGTTGGTATGTAGTGAGCCATGTTTGTCATAGGTTGTTGGTATGTAGTGAGACATGTTTGTCATAGGTTGTTGGTATGTAGTAAGACATGTTTGTCATAGGTTGTTGGTATGTAGTGAGCCATGTTTGTCATTGGTTGTTGGTATGTAGTGAGCCATGTTTGTCATAGGTTGTTGGTATGTAGTGAGCCATGTTTGTCAAAGGTTGTTGGTGTGTAGTGAGACATGTTTGTCATAGGTTGTTGGTATGTAGTGAGACATGTTTGTCATAGGTTGTTGGTATGTAGTAAGACATGTTTGTCATAGGTTGTTGGTATGTAGTGAGCCATGTTTGTCATAGGTTGTTGGTATGTAGTGAGACATGCTTGTCATAGGTTATTGGTATGTAGTGAGCCATGTTTGTCATAGGTTGTTGGTATGTAGTGAGCCATGTTTGTCATAGGTTGTTGGTATGTAGTAAGCCATGTTTGTCATAGGTTGTTGGTATGTAGTGAGATATGCTTGTCATAGGTTATTGGTATGTAGTAAGACATGTTTGTCATAGGTTGTTGGTATGTAGTGAGCCATGTTTGTCATAGGTTGTTGGTATGTAGTGAGCCATGTTTGTCATAGGTTGTTGGTATGTAGTGAGCCATGTTTGTCATAGGTTGTTGGTATGTAGTGAGCCATGTTTGTCATATTTGTTGGTATGTAGTGAGACATGTTTGTCATAGGTTGTTGGTATGTAGTGAGCCATGTTTGTCATAGGTTGTTGGTATGTAGTGAGCCATGTTTGTCATATTTGTTGGTATGTAGTGAGACATGTTTGTCATAGGTTATTGGTATGTAGTGAGCCATGTTTGTCATAGGTTGTTGGTATGTAGTGAGCCATGTTTGTCATATTTGCTGGTATGTAGTGAGCCATGTTTGTCATCGGTTGTTGGTATGTAGTGAGTCATGTTTGTCATATTTGTTGGTATGTAGTGAGACATATTTGTCATAAGTTTTAGGTATGTAGTGAGCCATGTTTGTCATAGGTTGTTGGTGTGTAGTGAGACATGTTTGTCATAGGTTGTTGGTATGTAGTAAGACATGTTTGTCATAGGTTGTTGGTATGTAGTGAGCCATGTTTGTCATAGGTTGTTGGTATGTAGTGAGACATGTTTGTCATAGGTTGTTGGTATGTAGTAAGACATGTTTGTCATAGGTTGTTGGTATGTAGTAAGACATGTTTGTCATAGGTTGTTGGTATGTAGTAAGACATGTTTGTCATAGGTTGTTGGTATGTAGTAAGACATGTTTGTCATAGGTTGTTGGTATGTAGTAAGACATGTTTGTCATAGGTTGTTGGTATGTAGTGAGCCATGTTTGTCATATTTGTTGGTATGTAGTGAGACATGTTTGTCATAAGTTGTTGGTATGTAGTAAGACATGTTTGTCATAGGTTGTTGGTATGTAGTGAGCCATGTTTGTCATATTTGTTGGTATGTAGTAAGACATGTTTGTCATAGGTTGTTGGTATGTAGTGAGACATGTTTGTCATAGGTTGTTGGTATGTAGTGAGCCATGTTTGTCATAGGTTGTTGGTATGTAGTGAGCCATGTTTGTCATATTTGTTGGTATGTAGTGAGACATGTTTGTCATAGGTTGTTGGTATGTAGTGAGCCATGTTTGTCATATTTGTTGGTATGTAGTGAGACATGTTTGTCATAGGTTGTTGGAATGTAGTGAGCCATGTTTGTCATTGTTGTTGGTATGTAATAAGACATGTTTGTCATAGGTTGTTGGTATGTAGTAAGACATGTTTGTCATAGGTAGTTGGTATGTAGTGAGCCGTGTTTGTCATAGGTAGGTGGTATGTAGTGAGCCGTGTTTGTCATAGGTTGTTGGTATGTAGTGAGCCATGTTTGTTGTGTATACTTCTGCCAGATAAGAGAAGTGACGTGCTGCCACTGCCCTGTGCCCCTGCACTTGTACAGAAGTATCACAGCTCTGGTACCGGTTCACCAGATCCACAAGTACAAGCCTTACAACAGGACCTGGACTGTTTGCAAGAGGAGATTGATTTATTGTA